ATATTAAAAGTATTATATTAATATAATAATTATAATATTAATATCATTAAGTTTATTATTATTATTATTATTATTATTATTATTATTATTATTATTATTATTATTATTATTATTATTATTATCATTATTAATTATACTATTATTATTATTATTATTATTATTATTATTATATTATTGTAACTTGTATTTTTTTATATAGATCTTTCAGTTACGACTTACGCGAAATTTTTTTTTTTTCATCCTTCGTACTTTTCTTTATTTTAAAGGAAAAATAGGAGAAAATAAAAGTAAATATAAGAAAAAAAAAAAAGAAAGAAAAAATAAAACACAAGACTACATTGAAAGCATCGTAACCGAAAGGGTAGAAAGAAAGTATTTCGTAGTTTTAATTTAAAAAAAAGCGTCTGAGGAAAAAAAAAGAAATCTATGAGAAAAATTGTGATATATAATCGTATTATTATTATTTTTATTATTATTATTATTATTGTTATTATTATTATTATTATTATTTTTATTATTATTATTATTATTATTATTATTATTATTATTATTATTATTATTATTATTATTATTATTATTATTATTATTATTATTATTATTATTATTATTATTATTATAATCCAACATATTTTACTTTGTATTTTCTTGTTTGAAGGAAGATACAGAGAGGTGTTCTTTTCTTTTTTCCTTTACATTTTTTTTTTGTTTTTTAATTTAGTCTAACTTTATTTTACACTATATGATAAGAATAATATGTTTTAATACGTTGTCCGAGATGATTTTTTCTTTTTTCTTATACGTCCTTTTATCTTTTCTATTTTCAATTTTTTTTTTCTTGTCTTTTTTCTTTTTTGCAATTTTTTTTTCGTCTCTTTTGATTTTCTTTTATCTCTGCATTTTATCACATGCCTTTAGCGATACATAATATGATGGTAAAATCTTGAATCCTAATTGAAAGAGAGAGAAAGAGAGAGAGGGAGAAAGAGAGAGAGAAATGGATAAACGATAACAACAACAAAATACGAAGAAGAATAGGAAGCAAACGAAAGGAATCCATCTAATCGTTCTCTTCAATACATCTGTAATATATCTAATCATAATTTTTTATTACATTCTTTTATTAAAACATAGTGACTGGTTTCACAGTGACAGGACAGATTTATAATTATTTGCACGTAGAAAAGAAAAAGGACAATAAACCAAAAAGAAAGGAAAAAAAAAATAGACAAATATTCGCACGTGCGCGCACATCGATCGTGTTTCGTTATCAATTTGTTTATATTATTTTCTTTCTACTTTTTTTTTTCTTTTTTTCTTTTCATTCCTCTTTTGTCCATGCACATACGACACACCCTCGTCATTATTAGAGCAATTTAAAAATTATTATCGACAATTTCTCCTTTCTCTTCGTATTTCTTTTTTTTTGTTTTTTTTTTATGGCACATTTATCGTTAATTGTTTGAATTATTATTTATTATAATAATTATTAATATTATTATTAATTAACGCGTCATTGCGCGCATAGTTATCTGAGCATAATGTTAAATATCATTGTGCATAACGTGCAAGTTCCTACATTTTATTTCATTTTTTATAATTTTCTTTTTTTTCTCTCTTCTGTTTTTTTTTCTGTACATTTCTTTGATAATTAGTTCCAACGATAAATAAGGAAAGAGTGAGAAAGATAGACAGACAGACAAATAGACAGAGAGAGAGAAAAAAAAATGAAGGAACAAGAGAGAATAGAATTAAATGAAAAAAAGAAAAATTGTACGAACAAAGAGAAGTATTAAGTAAAAACAAAATAAAGTAAAAATCAAAAAAAAAAAAAAATAAAAAAAAAAAAGAACGAAAGAAGACTCACGATTCACTCTCGATATTTGGAGGGAAAGATGTCGACGAGAAAACAAAAACGAATGAAAAGAAAAGAAAAGGCGAGAAAAAAGGGAGAAAGAGAGAATATTAAAAAGAAAAAAATGAGTAAGAAAGAGATGAAAAAAAGAAGAGAAAAGAAAGAGAAACGTCCGTTTTGGTTTGGTACGCTAGACGAGAAAGCAAGAGTAATAGAAGAAGAGAAAGAAGCAAGAAAAAAAAAGAAAGAAGAAGAAGAAAAAAAACTAGGTTTGTGGACGAAGTAAAACGAAAAATGCAACGCGAGACTGTGTAAAAACGGTTCTGCTTTGTAAAAAAGATAGAAAGAAAGAAAAAGAGAAAGAGAGAGAAAGAGAGAGAGAGAGAGAGAGATATAGAATGTACGTGTTCCGTATATTTGTGTGTGTGTGCGTGAAAGATAAAAAGAGAAGAATAGAGAGACAGATGCATTATTTGTGTGTGTGTGTGCGTTTGTAGAGAGAGAGAGAGAGAGAGAGAGAGAGATTTAGAGATAGCGATATTTCTCGACCGAAAACATTTTGGCAAGCGGCGCTTTTTGTTCTGTATCCGAAAAAAAGAAAAATATAATAATAAGAAAAAAAAAATCCTCGAAAAAAGGAAAAAAAAACAACATAACATGTCAAGCGATACATTTGAATAAAGTAATTCACATTTGTACGACATCCGTGTGCGATTGTTATTTATTTTTCAAGCATTTACGAGAGAGAGAGAGAGAGAGAGAGAGAGAGAGAGAGAGAGAGAGAGAGAGAGAGAGAAAGAGAGAGAGAGAGGGCAATAATAAGCATTAATTATGGATAAGAATAAAAGTGAAAAAATAAAAAAAAAAGAAAAAATTAAAAAATAAAAAAAAAAAAGAAAGAAAGAAAAAAGCATACTAATAATAATAATAATTTTTCGTATCACATTGGATCGATTCTATTGATTTATTTTAATAATTCAATGCGAAGGAGTTCAAGGAGGCGACCATTATATAATTTCTTTTATATTCTGTTTTATTTTTTATCTTCCAACATTAAGAAACATTTTATTGAATTATTAAATAGTAAATATTGAAAACTATACTATATATAAAAATTATATTATACTATACTATATCCACATGTATCCACATATATATATATATATATGTGTGTGTATGTGTGTGGATATATATTTATAAAAGTGTTCCTTTTTATGATAATAGTATTACAAGATAGTAAAATGTAAAAGAACATTATTAAAAATTCGTCACTTTATTATTAATTCAAAACTATTTGAATTTGAAATTAGGTTAGGAAAACCAGGAAGAGCGATCACGTGATTAAACCATTGTATATTTAACGGTAATATACACGCATACGTACGTTTATTCGTTCATTCATGAGTACTTAGAATATTTTGTTAAATATCAAATATTAAACGATATACATTAATATATATATACGTATATCACAACGATGATATACATATCTAAATGTATTCGCTCATACACACATGCTTATTATATTTTATTATTTATTAAATATTAAATAAGAACACACACACACACACACACACATAAACGCACACATCCATAAATGTTCCTTTTAATGATAATCGTATTTCACTATAGCAAAATATTAAAGAAGATATTTGGGATAATAACCTATTAATTTTTATTATTTTAAAAATTATTCCTATTTTGAAATTATTAGATTAGAGGAAGAACTAAAATAGCATAAGCGTGATTAAGTCATTGTTGTATTTGAAAATAATATACGTGTATTTGCTCGTACACGTATATATATAAATACATACATACATACATACATATTAGGTTGGAAACTATGAAACAGGCGTTTTGTTTAGTTTTTTATTTTCATTCAACGTCTGTTTCATAGTTTCCAACCTAATACATACATACATTTACAATAAAGTTCTCTTACAATCGGAGAAAAAAAAATAAAAATAGAAAAGAAAAAGAAAAGGAAAGAAAAAAAATAGGAAGAAGAAGAAGAAGAAGAAGAAGAAGAAGAAGAAGATGACGAAGAAAAAAGAGTTCGTCGATCGTGTTCAATAAAATACATTCCTATCTTTGAATTGTGTGTTATTTGAGTGAAAATTCAATTTTCGAAAGAAAAGCCTAGTGATTTTCACATTTTATTCGACCTAGGTATAAAGATAGAAAATACGAGAAAGAGAGAGAGAGAGAGAGAGAGAGAGAGAGAGAGAGAGAGAGAGAGAGAGAGAGACAGAAAGAAAGAAAGAGAAAGAGAGACGACTAACTTCACGTGTCGAATACGCTGAGATATTTCGAACATGACGATTCAAAACGCAATTAACCAAGGCTCGAGGGGTACATACGATCTGTAAAAAAAATGGCTCGAGTACTATTCCAGGTATTCTTATCGTTTTCCACGATGGACTTTCTATTCTCAATTCCACAGCATATATATATATATATATATATATATATATATATATATATATATATCGTCGAATTTTCCAATATCCATTCTGTTCACAACGACACGACGACTATCAACCAACCACCACTATTACTACCCAACCCCAAGAACGGTAACCGCAATCATTGCTATTACCACCACTACTACTCACTACTTACTCACTATCCATTATCAATATCATTATCACCTCTAACACTACTACTATTGCTAGTACTACTACTACTGCTATTACTATTACTATTACTATTACTATTACTACTACTACTACTACTGTTATTATTACATGTTATTATACAATATATTACGTGTTCTATGGACGGGAGACTAGAGAATAAAAATGCACCGCACCCTTTATCCAACCATCTATCGGCGAGAATTTCAATGTGTTCGTGAAAATTGTCTTTTCGTGAGAAACGCATTGATGAACATGAATGGTGAGAATGATATGGAATAGAGTGGGATAGTTGGTGGGTGGGTGGTTGGTGGTGGCTAGGCTGGTGGATGGGTTTGGTGAATATATATGAAAGCTCAACGGTATATCAACAGGACCGTATTTACCGCGTAAGGCGCGTTCGACGTAATGAAAGCTTTTATTATTTAATGACGTCACGTTTAAAAATTTTTACTCCATCGACGAACGATGATATATGGTTGATAATTATTGGATTAAAATTAAAAAAAAAAAAAAAAAAAAAAATAGAAGAAGAAAGGAAAGAATAAAAGTAGTAATGATAAATAAATGTACAAGAAGAAGAAGAAGAAATAGCCTGGTGTATTTGATTGAAATAGAAAAAAAAAAAAAAAAAAAAGAAAAAGAAAGAAAAAGAGCATCTAATTTGTTAATAATTGACAATGAGATAAAGATTTGCGTTTTTTTTTTTCCTTTTTTTCTTTTTTTCTTTTTAGAAATACCTCGACAATGACCCCGTTGACTGTCTTAGGGCATTCGAACGTATAAATACGATCCTGCTTATCAAACACTCGATGAAATTAATGATAGGGGACGGGGTTATAACTCTTGGAAAATTTCATTTGGTTAATAAAGTTTCTTTTACAAAGGAAATCTTCAGGTTCCATTAGGAATTTACCCGTTTTAATTATATTGTACATCGTTTTAATTATCGTTACTGTAATTTGTCACTTTTATCTCGTCTCGTCTCGTCTCCCTTTCTCTTTCTCTCTCTCTCTCTCTCTCTTTCTCTCTCTCTTTCTCTCGCTATCTCTCTTTATCTCTTTTTATCTCTCCTTCTCATTTACACTTTTTTATTTTTTATTTTTTATAAAAAATCGCAAGAAAAGGAGATAAATGACGGCAGAGTTATGAGTCGGGAATGAGAAAGTGAAGAAAAGAAAAGAAAAGAAAAGAAAAGAAAAGAAAAGAAAAAGAAAAATAAAAAGAAAAAAGGAAAGAAAAAAAGAGACAAGATAAATCATAAAATGTATACTTTATGGTTGATCATGGGCGATGATGATGATCATTCGGCTAACTTTTATAGGATACTTATCAATCCTTTAATATCGTCGACAACGAGCCTTTACGAGAGAGTAAACTTTAACGACTTCGTACATACCTGCTTCCGGGATTATACATTATTAAGTTTAAGATTGTTGAGATCGGAAAGACAGAAAGAGAGAGAGAGAGAGAGAGAGAGAGAGGGGAGGGGGGAGGAGGAAGAGAGAGTGATGATGGAGAAACGGGGACGTAGGGAGGTGTTCAATGGATGGGGGATGTTCAACAGATGTTCGAAGCAATATCGTTTATGTTATCTCATAGTTCGATGATTTATATTTTCGACGTGGTTTCTTTTTATTTTATTTCTTTTATAGTTTCCATTTCTCTTTCTCTCTCTCTCTCTCTCTCTCTCTCTCTCTCTCTCTCTCTCTCTCTCTGTCTTTCCCCTTTTTTTCTCTCCCTCTCTTTCTCTTTCTTTTTCTTTTGTCGATAGAAAATTATTAAAGTTAGATATGATATATTAAGTAAAAAAATTTACGTTATACATATATACATACATATTATACATATACGCGTGTCTGTCTGTCTGTCTGTTTGTGTGTGTATGTATATATGTATATATATATATATACACACATAGTGAACTTTTAAATAGTTTTATTTATTTATTTGTTTCTTTTCTTTTCTGTGATGTTCTTATCGAAAAGAATCTTTAACGTAAAACCTCAAAATTTACTGTTTTAATTAAAGAGAAAGAAAGGAAGAAAGAATAAAAGAAAGAAAGAAAAAGAAGAAGAAATAAAAAAAAAAAGAAGGAAACGTTCGTAGAGTTCGTTAGATCCAGGAGAAAAAAATATGTTAATTAAAGGAGAATTTACATGAAAAACGTGTCACGACTACGTATCATGTAATTAAATACATCGACTTCTAATAACTTCATTTGAAATTTGAAAAGTCGATATTAGAATCGAAGTTTTTTATTTATTTTCTCGTTGTTTTTCTTCTTTTTTTTTTTTTTTTTCTTTTTTATTTATTATTTATTTTGTAAAGCTCGATTAAACGGGAACTCCATTTTTTTATCTTCTTTTCTTTACCTTTCTTCTTTTTTTTTTTCCTCTTTTCTTTTTTTTTCTATCAGCAGCGCATGTAAATGCGTTTTATTTGATATTGATCTTTACTTTAATTAATTTCTAATTACAACAGGAATTAATGTGTCGTCCGAAAGCTATTTATATTCATATCGTATATATATATATGTACATACATACATACATATATATATATATTTATATATATATATATATATATATATATATATATATAAATATATATATGTATAAGTACGTCTTTTTAGTAGGAAATGCAAGCGATCGATTATATTCCTGATAAAAAATGGATCGTGGCTTTCTTGTCAGCTGTTTATCTTTTCACATAGATCGTAAAAAAGGGAAGATGATAATAAATGAGAATATGCGTTTTGCATCTTTCTCTCTCTCTCTCTCTCTCTCTCTCTTTCTTTTTCTTCTTTTCTTTTTTATTTTTGTATATTCGTGTCACACGTTATCTGCAATCGCGGAAGTCATCAAGGATTTTTATTCGACTTCGTCGATTTCCTTTCAAGAATACGACGAGGTTAGATTTTCTTCTCTTATTTTTCTTTTTCTTTTTTTTCGATTATTGAAATTTTTTTTTGATTATTTAAATAAAGAAGGGCGGGTGGGGGGACAA